AAAAAAAAAAAAAAAAAGAAAAAAAAAAGAAAGAAAACAAAAAAAAGATAACTTATTACGAAGAAACTCTCCTTCCACAAAACAAAAGAAAAAACAACAACAACAAAGAAAGAGAATCATTAAATCCATTTTTCAAGTGCAATAAGGAAGCTTTGCTGTGGTTTCACGCAAAAAGTAAAGTTAAATAAAACGAAAGCTGTTTTAATCTTAGAAGCTGACAAAAGAACATGCGAAATTAATAATGTCTTGGGCGCTTACTCAAGGAAATACGATGACCTCTGATGAGAGTGTTTTTTCTCTTATCTGTCAACTTGAAAAGGCACCTGATATTGCAAGGAGAAATTAGGGGCTGAACTGTAACGGACATTATTTAAAGAAGAAACACACGCAAGCAGGTCGTTAGAACAAGCACTTGACAGTGCACGGTCTGGACGTTTCATCAAACTCCAAATTCTCCCAGCAGACACATTTGCTATCATGGTGAAGCTCTGGCTAACTCTCAGAAACAGAGCTCGAACTGGACTGATAATATTATTAATGTATGGAGACCAAACAGGAACATTTCGTATGTTGTGATGTGAAAGAGCTGTAAGTGAACTGACCCTTTAGTTTTGGAGGTAGCAGGTGCTTTCTGTTGATACTGTTGGCTGTGGTAAGCTGCTGATATTCCTGACACGACAGCATTGTCTAGGTCTGACTGCGATGATGCCTTGATGGCCTTTTTCAGGTTTTCGACCTTTAAAAGAAAAGCACAGAATTCTGTGTAGTATTGCCATGATGCGCTTTACATCTCGGAATTAAATAGTACTGATGAATAGTTGCATTTCTGTGAATAAATGAATTTACATACAATGGTAACCTTTTCTGATAGAATCTTTCCCATGCACATTGATCTAAAAAAGTTTGTGTTTGTATGCATTGTTGCTGCACATGCAATTAACACGCCTCGTTGTGGAACGAGGGTTACAAAATAATAAAAAAAAGAAACTTATGAAGACGATGGTAACATTTGGAATTAGTAATGCAACAGACTCACTGATGCAAAATATGACAAGATAGGTTGCCTCCGTTCACTGACTCGTCTCCAATAAAAACCCAGGAGACAATGTGGGGTTTCCTGCACCAATTTTTCCAAATTATCCGACCACAGTACAGGTAAAAAACAAAAACAAAAAAAACTACATGCAATTGCAATCAATAGAATGAGAAAGTTTCTCCAGAGTGGCCGGGGATATTAAAGAACTTCAACTAAAAAGAACATGAATTTAAATGCGAACCTGAAAACTGAAAATTAGATTTTTAGAACAGATAGATCTACACGTATTACTTGAGATAAATATAGGAGTTAGTACATTAACGGACTAAATACATGCACGTGTACTTAACATTCAAATGGTAATTACTAGCTCAGTAATTCCTTGTAATTAAATTGTAAATCCCACTTTGTGTTAAGTCAGTTACCTCAGCTTCCACTTGAATTTTCTGTTTTTGCTTCTTTTCTTTGTGCGAATTTGCTCGTTGTATTTGTTTCTCTATGCTCCGAAGAACTGATTCACAACCATCACACCTGCAGTAAAGAAATCAAACAAATTCAACTTGCAGATATGCATCCTGTTCTGTTTGTAAATAAACAATTATACTCTATGAGAAATAATGAGTACATGTACTTACCAATCTTGTAACACTTCTGTGACTCTGGTTACTGTCTCTGGAGTGATGTCTCTACCAATAGCAAAATCTACCTCTAGCTGTCAATTGAATTGCAATTGAAGAAGACATCAACACCAAAATCTGGTTAAATTATAATGGTTTTAAGACACTCAATTGAAAACAGCTAACTTATGGCTATTACAAAAACACAAATCACTGAGTTTAAAGGCACACCTGTTTGTTTTTCTGATCTAACTTGCCATGGATAATATCAGCATAAATAGCATCAATGATTAAATCCTGAAAGTAATTACACATTTTATAATTAATTATCATTATAACTAATTATCATTATAATTACCCATATGAGGAAGTAGCAGATCCCATTAAAATAATTAATAATAAATTATAATTAATTATAACTAAAATTGATTATAATTATAATCAATCATAATTATATACAAATCATCAGGCAAGGACCCTGCACTAGTTTCTACCCTCAGTGACTTGCCATGGATAATATCAGCATAAATAACATCAATGATTAAAATTAATCCTGAAATTACACATTCTATAATGAATAATTATTATGATCATAATTATATAATTAATTATACAATTATAATTGATTACAATTATAATCAATTATAATTACATAAAAATTATCAGGCAAGGACTGTGCACTAATTTCTGCCCTCTGCTCAGTAACTTACTAAGTGGATTTAATGTCAGTTTTTGTACACTGCAAGGCAAAGTTATTCTCACTATGGATCTAATGCACTAATACCACAAAACCTTTGGTCAAGATTGTATCAGTAAAGAGTGATATGTGAGCCCTGGAAAATCAACCTCGCTAGATTTCAAATCCTATTAAGTTTCACTGGCATGGCTGTTTGTTTCTCCTTGTAAGGTATCTAGAGATAGAGCGTTGATCAGATTCTACTGCCCATACGACATCTGACTGTTAGATATACACATGTATTAGTAGTGTTATGTGAACATTTACCTCTAGTTCCCTGAGATTCTTGATGTCCAGTTCTTGTAATAACAGGCTGTATGGTATGAACTGTCCCAATAAACACAGAATGATGCAATCAGTTATCACACTAATCATGGGCATCAACAAGACCTGTTCTCCAGTGGAAGTCGTAAGGGGCATCCACCCAATGTAACCTAACCCGTTAACCCCTCCCCTCCAAAAAACAAACAAACAAACAAACAAACAAACAAAAACAAAACAAAACAAAGCAAAAAGGTCTCTGCAAGGATAACCTGCTGACTTAGTAAAATGTGGTGGATTATTGTGCCTGTGAAGAACTATGGATACATGTTCTTTCCCCCTCCCACAGCACTGAAAGTGTGGCTACATCTGTCTACCCCAGTTGGCAGCTGAACCTTGTCATAAATTTGGGTGACATATTATTTTCTGATAGGGAGATTTTTTCAGTGACCTTGCCAGGAAAAGGAGGTGAAGTTGTGATATAAACTTGTCAGCGACTAGAACATTGAACAAGTTAGAAATGCTGACTTATTGGTTACAGTAGTGGACATCACGGTTTCTAATGAGTNTGTATTAGTAGTGTTATGTGAACATTTACCTCTAGTTCCCTGAGATTCTTGATGTCCAGTTCTTGTAATAACAGGCTGTATGGTATGAACTGTCCCAATAAACACAGAATGATGCAATCAGTTATCACACTAATCATGGGCATCAACAAGACCTGTTCTCCAGTGGAAGTCGTAAGGGGCATCCACCCAATGTAACCTAACCCTTTAACCCCTCCCCTCCAGAAAACAAACAAACAAACAAAAACAAAACAAAACAAAGCAAAAAGGTCTCTGAAAGGATTACCTGCTGATGTAGTAAAATGTGGTGGATTACTGTGCATGTGAAGAACTATGGATACATGTTCTTTCCCCCTCCCACAGCACTGAAAATGTGGCTACATCTGTTCAGCCCAGTTGGTGGCTGAACTTTGTCATAAATTTGGGTGACATATTATTTTCTGATAGGGAGATTTTTTCAGGGACCTTGCCAGGAAAAGGAGGTGAAGTTGTGATATAAACTTATCAGCGACTAGAACACTGAACAAGTTAGAAATGCTGACTTATTGGTTACAGTAGTGGACATCACGGTTTCTAATGAGTTCTAACAAACTTGTTTGTTGTGAGTCCCCTGACTACTGGAGAATGTAAAAAGCCTGCCTATGGTTAGCCTAAATACCCCCCCCACGGGACCTACAGTACAACCTGTACTAGGGTTTGACTTGACATAGGTGGCTGAACATGGTTTTAACCCTAAGCCTTCATCCTTTCCATGCATCAACCTTTCAACAATGCCTGCATGTTGACACTACTGACAGTATTTTTATGATAGACTAAAAGAGAACAGTTTAATTCTGTGAGCTGTTTAGACATGAGGAGTTGTTAGTTACCTTTGATTTAGCTGCTAAGGACACTATTGTTAGATGTCGTAATTTCTTTAGTTGTGCTGGAGTAAGAGCTGGTAAGGAGCTGGCATTGGCTGAAAAAA